TTTGTTACATGTAGTGTTATATTGTTGAATTTGTTAATTCGTAAAATTAACCTTAAAATTTAAATATATTTCCACTTTAGTAATTATTTAGCCCGCGACTGTCCGTGAAGGATTGAAACTTGATTAGTGGTCTATGTGTTCTTCCAGATTATGTTCTACATGTGTGGCAAAATTCAGCGAGATCTATACAGCTGTTCTGGAGATATCTTCAAACAAATATCCATCTAAACATTCGCATTTATAATATTAGTAAGATTTTTAATGTCTGTAACTTATTTATAATTCATTATAACAAAAACGTTGTTTTATAAATTATTGTGTTTAATACGCAATCTAATATTTCCAACTTTTATCGCTAACTTAAAAATCAAATACTATTAACTTAGTTAAGTTCACAACCCTCCCAAACTTTATACGTTTACATACACACATGTAAAACGACAACACACGCAAAGCACACACTTACATATCTATGAGTAACCATTTTAATAATATTTTCACAAACTTCTTTAGTGTTATACTAGCTGACGCCCGCGACACCGTTTGCGCGGAATTAAAAAATATAATAAGTATAAAATGTGTAACAGACTATGTTCTATATGACTAACATATTTCATAGAGATCGTTCTAGAGATAAATTCTAATAAATATCCATCTAAACATTCGCATTTATTATATTAGTAATATTGAGAGAACTAACCACCTTTTAGCTTCTCTTTTTTAATTACTAATACTTTTGTTGGATGGATAGATGGATGTTAGATGATATCTCCAGAAAAGCTGCATAAATCTCGATAAAATTTAGCACAGACATGGAACAAAATCTGGAATTAGACATAGACGGACGGAGTCGTGGGCAAAAGCTAGTCTAAAACTAAAAGTGGATCATCTAACATTAAACCTCTCAACAAATATATCTTGTTTATTGAAGTTTTTTTTACTAAAGATGTTAATTTTTAAAAGACATATCTGAACTTCACAATGTCGAGACTTAAACATTTCTGAATACATGAACAGTAAAAAAACAAACGTGTCTAGTGTAAAACGCTATAACTGAATATAATATGAAAATTATTTTCATTACAATATAGAGTTTGGATAAATATAGCCGAGTGTCTTAACAAACATAATATAAATGCGAATGTTTAGATGGATGTTTGTTTGTAAATAACTACAGAACGGCTGAATGGATGTTGATGAAATTTGTGATACATATAGAACATAATCTGGTAGAACACATAGGCTACTTATTAAGTTTGTATTTATGTACGTAGTCGCGGGCGACAGCTAGTAGTTATATATATGTATTCAGTTATTAATTACTTATCATTTTTAAAGAACATAATATAGCTATATAAACGATTTCTTTGTCATTGAAAATAAACGATTTTAAATAATAATAATTACAGGATTTCAAAGGTTATACATTTTCCGTCAGGACTCAAATAGTCTCGACCCTAATTCGTTACATTCTTATGTGTGCGTGCGTGTTTACAGTTGCGTGCTTGTGTGGTAAACACGAATAGGGCTGTGTGATCGGATGGCTTTATTATATTTAGTATGATATTAATTTTTAATACGATAATTTTACGTTATCACTAAAGTGTTATCAGATTTCAAATAATAAGATCAATACACTTATTATTTTACTTATTATAATAATAAATATGTATAGGAGTTAAACGTTACAATAAACACAAACGCAATTAATATCAATTGTATACCATAATTATAAGTTTTTATTAGCATAATGAAAATGGCTACACTTACATATAAATAGTCTATACGGTTTAGTTTTTAATATTGTACTCAAAAAGTTGAAACAAATTGCTGAAAAATGTACATATATAAAAATCAATTGCTGTTTGTTAGTCTCGCTAAAACTCGACAGCTGAACGGATTTATCTTATCTTGATATTGAAATGTTCGTGGAGATCTAGGGAAGGTTTAAAAGGTGAGAAATTCGAATTATTGCCGGAAACTATTTATTATTAGGAAGAAAATCTGGTATTGAGCCGGTGTACTGGCGCAACACTAACCTTACTAACGTCTTACTAATTTATGTCCCCTCACTAATTATTCTGACACTGGACTTTTTAACGAAAACACGTCATTCGCGACAAAGGATTCTAATTATTAATGTCTAAAATTTTAAACTACGCACTAACAGAGTCGCGGGCGATAGCTAGTATTAAAATTAATTTTATCTGTTGTGTCAGCCCTGCGCTAGTTTGCATTCCGCAGCGACGAGCGCTACAATCGAGTACAATACCGGAGTTTACACAATAAAATATGGATAAGACTATATTATTTAATTTAATATAATTAAAAAATATAATAATACTATGAATCATAGATTTAATTGTTTATCGACTTTGTAAAATAATTTTAAAAAATTTATACGTTTTTTTTTGTAAATTTTCGTATAATTTTACTCTGGATTTCAACTGACGGAACACTTCTATTGAAGCTTTCTTGCTGTCTCTGTCATGTCAAAGAGAATGAAAGAGATGAAAATATGTATAAACGACACAGAAATCCAGTTCTGTGGTTAGAAACTATAACTCTTAAAGTAAAAGTTTTATTATCGAATTTTATAATTATCTTAGATTACCATTATATAGATGATATTTAAATAAGCTTCATCTATTTTTTTTTTAAATAAACATATAATAATAATAAAACGAATTAATATAGTCACATCCAATCTTCCGTACTCCTGCTAAGAGATAACGCACACATAAGCATTTGTATACACATCTAATACGTTATATAAGCGCACACTTATACAAACACGCACATACACAACGGAGTTTTTAATTTTAAAATTGTACCTCTAGGAGCGTTAAGTAGCCAGTAGTATGTATTCAATACATTTTAGAAACAGAGTATAAAATATAAGGCTAAAACCTCTTTTGTTTTTTTTGACAACATACTTTTTATGTAAGTTAACAATTAAAACATTTAATAAGGAAATAAAAAAAGAAAATTTTATTATTTCTATATGGTTAATATTCTTGTCCTTATAAAAATAGAATTCGACACAAGTTTGAAACGAAAAATTGAAAAAAAAACTTACATAACAAAACCTATCCTAATAAATATTAAAATCCGTTAACAGTTTAAATTAATGAATATCATTAAAGTAAATACACGGTCAAAATAAATGCGTGATCGAATCAAGATTTCAAGATCAAAAATCGAGTTGTGAAAGCGACATCCGCCATTTTGTTTTCGTCACAGAACGACAAAATGTTGCATCATTGTTTCCGGTCAGCTTAAGAAAAAAAAGAATGTATAATTTACTCCATCATGACTTTTTATTAACATAAAACTAAACGATTACAAACGGCAGCCATTTTATATGCACATTGGAAATATTGACAAAAGACGTAATAAGATTATTATTAATTTAATTAATTTGAATTAACTGATAGTAAATAAAACAACGATAATAAGAAAATTCTTGTTAAAGTTATCATTCTACTCTTTGACGTATATTGTTTCTTAGAACTTTATTGTCAACATATCCGTAATTTGATACGCTATTGTCTAGATTTTAACAAATTCCTTTGTCTTAAAATAACTACCATCTTTTCTCTATAATGTGTATAAAGTAATAAAACAGTTCAAAAACAATTTCATGTAATTAACCGCCATTTTATTTGGCTGTAACAAGAAACATTAAACGATAAGGTTTTTGTAGTCGTTCAAGGACAAAGGTACGCACGGCTTAGTTCAGTTTTTTAATTTTTAAATATCTTTTTTCTTTGAATAATTTCTAGAATACAGTTTTTTAAATAAAATTGTAGTTTTAGTCATGACTATGCAGTAATCAAATTTAATTTCCCGTTATTTTAGAAAAAAAAGTAACAAAATACTATAGTGTGCCACGCCCTCATTTTATAGGTTATATTATTTTAAACAGTAAATCTAAAACAACTATTAAAAGATCGATTTATCGTGATTACGTGAACACAATACGAACAAACAGAACAATTTGTTTACCATTAGACAGACCTACGCAAACATGAACGTTATCTTCCTTTCACGGTTACCTTATATCATGATGTTGCACTGTATGAAATTGGTTAATTTTATATTTGTCCAACTACTTAATTTACAAGTTGCTTTTAAAATGCTGGGAAAAATTATAATTGTACCTAATATTACTTTGGTACAATATAATTTTTAAATAAAAACGATTTTGTTTAGGTGAATTAACGTATGTCCGATTGTTTACATTTACTGCAACGCTAGAATAAGATATAAAGAACAATGATAAAATATTCACAACGATATCGCCGTAACATAGCTTGATTATGTGCAATCCATTTAAGTTAGCTATAAATTAACTATTTAGTTACATTTAAGTGCAAATTAAAAACATAAATTAACTAAGTATTGTAAATAACTATTCAAGCATTTTAAGGACGTTTTTTTATATAATAACAAGAGTTATTTTTGATAAGTTGATAGTTCTACATTTTTTGAAGTCAATTTTGTTGATGTGCGACATCTATATCTTTTTATTTGAATTATACGTTTAAAAATAAATAAATAGATGTCGCTGTAATGTAAAATTAATTTAAAGCGATAGAAAAATTGAAATAGGCAATAAAATTACTCTCCGAAGCATCAAAATTAAACAAAAACTAAATAATTAATTCATTAGGAATTCTTAGTTTCATGAAAATATTTCAGATTTAACATTCTTTCAACGATGGCTATTTTTAGCTTTGTCAAAATCAAACCTCGATCAAGTCTGTTCAGAAACCAATTCAAAATTCTTTCGCATTGTTCGTTCCTATGATTTATTTTGTTAAAAAGGTAAAATTTTAAACATTCGCATATAAATTTATCTTTATTACATATATTTCCTTGTATTTATATTATTAAGTACGATTTAAATTGATTTCTTTTTAAAATTTTTTGATTTTTCGGCGTTAAATCTGGGAAAGGGAAGAAACGCAACTGCAGTTTTAATTTTGGCAGATATCCATGTCGGCGCAGAAACTGAGAAAATAGATGTTATTTAATATTATTATAAACATATTTTCTCTAAATAACGCCGTTTTTAACTAATAAGTAACTATAATTTATAGTTGCTCAAATATTTAACTTATTAATAAAGTGCTTTGTTAAACAGTTTTCGTCGTGGATTCCAAAACAAGCGGTATGTTTTTGTTGATATTCCGAAATCTTCCGGCATATTTAATATTGTTGAAATAACTTTGTAAATAAAAGATTAATCTCATTATTTGTAATGTTATTTTACTGTTCATATTGCCCTTTACTTTATAAATAAGCTGTCTTTTATTTATTTCAAACATATGTTGAGGATTTTTCGTAATGTCGTCAAAAGAAACGTCGCAATATAAAAGGTATTTCGGTTAATAAAAAAAGAGTAGGTTTTATTCGGAGACTATCCATATGCGCGATATTAAAAATAAACTTAATTAGTAGCCTTTGTGTTCTTCCAGACAATGTTCTATATGTATGCCAAATTTCAGCTACATCCGTTCTAGAGATACCTTCAAACAAACATCGATTCATCTAAACATTCGCATCTAAAATATTAGTAAGATATATGGTCAGTTCCATTTCTTTTGCAAGTTCAGGTGGCCATAAAGAGTTTCCAGATTACTGCAAGTGCACTGTAAATATAATTGTTATGTTTCAGTGTTGGAGATGTGTACGGAGACATGGCGCGGCGCGGGCGTGGCCCGGTCGCCGTCACACGAGTCTGTAACAACTGATCTATCATTGTTCAGTGTATCATCAGCTGCTTCAGATGCCAGGGTGCTACGTATGCTTGCATGCAAGGTGAGGTGACAATTTTTTATATTAAAGTAACAAAAGAGCGAAGCGACCATTGCACATAGACATTTAAATTGACAGAGGCAATGCACAGAAAGAGAATATTTTCTCTTAACATGCATCCTCTCATCCACTTCGTCTTCCTTTTCTTTTCTTATAAGTAACAGACGGGAAGGGAAAGAGGAGTAAAATAAGTCCCCCGGGTCGCACACTCATAAGCATGTAGTTGGAATTGCTTCCACTTGAGGCCTGTCTTCTGTGTGGTTGTAGTATTGCCCACAAACTGAACAATACCTGTGAAGATGTTAAAGCTGGCTCAACCACTGTTTAAATATACATTCTGTATATGTTGGGCTCTTCTAATCTTACTAATATTATAACATATTTTTTTCAGGCGGGCCAAGGTCCTGATCCGTCCATCAGAGTGGCTAGTCCTAATCCAGATGGCAAGGCTTCTAAGTGAGTAGCGCTTTTATAATATTACAAGATTCAAACTTTAGGGTAGGCGATGTTTGTCAGGTGATCCCACTGGTGTAAAGCATATAGTGGTTTGAGTTAGAATCCCATTGAAACCATAGTTTATAGAGTTAATTTCACTAAAAAACAAAATTACCTCTAACCATAGACATTTGCAATATGATGTAAGATTGTTGAGCCTATGCCTACTCTCTAAGATCAGCATTGTAAAGCTTGTTACAAATATTTCCTTTTTCTTTATATTTATAATGTGTTTTTTTTTTAATTTTGTTGTGATGATGCAAAGGATTACGAGGGTCGGTGGCTCAGTAGTCAACTTGACTTGCAATCTGCAGGTCCTGGGTTCGAATCCTGCCATGTACCAATGTGTTTTTCCATTTTCTATTTACATATGTACATTATGGTGAAGGAAAACATCGTGATGCTGCACATATCTGAGATGTAATTCAAAGATATGTGTGAAGTCACTGCATTTGGTCAGCGTGTTTGACTATAGCCTAATCACCCTTAACTCAGGGTAGGCTCCGAGCCCCTCAGTGGGGATGTATAGCTGATGATGATGATGCAAAGGATTATTTTTTTTTATATTGAGTAGACAGAAAGGATGTACAGAAACTTATTTCCCCTTACTATATCTTGCAAAATCCATTTCCAATTATTTCCTTATAAAGAATCAATAAGTAGGGTAAACGACATAGGTTTAGTCCACCGGCACACATATTTAGTATTGTATATTAATTAGTCAGATTACAGTTTTAAAATGTAAATTTTGTCTATAAGATCATCAGCGGCGTTGCCATTGGCATCAGGTGAGAGTGGTGATGCATGCCGGGAGGTGTTAGCTGGGTGTGCAGCGTTGTGTGCGCAGCTCGGTCTGCGTCGGTCCTTCAGTGCGGCTGATGTGTGTCAGGTGCATGCTTCGCCACCACCCAGAAGGTAAAACCCCTTTTAAATTATAGTACTACTAGTCTACACATAAAGGTCATCACACACTGTCTATTTTAATTTTTATACATACTCTAGGTTACTCTTTCCTTCCTGAGATTAAAATATCTTTATAAAACATGTTGTTATATCTTTAAATCATGGGAGCGATGAAGAGCCTGCTTTAACATGTTCGCACGAATTGTCCCAGTCGACAGGCGTCAAGTGGAAGCTATTCCACGTACAGTCTGATGAGTGTGCGTCCCGGAGGTCTAAGTTAGTCCTCTTTCTCTTCCCACCCTTTTTCTTATAAGGAAAGGACGGGAAGTGGAAGTGGACTTTCCGGATGAGAGGATGCATGGAAAGGGAAAATATTTTCTTTCTGTGCATCCTCTCCTCCGTCGATTAAAGGTAGGCAACGCATATGCCATTGCGTATGTCTATGGGTAACGGTCACTTCGCTATTTAAGCGATTTCAGGTGGCCGCTCGCTTGTTTGCCATCTTTGGAATTTGGATGTTAGAAACCAATGATAACTCAATAATTAGACCTTAAATCACTCTGGAACACTGGTGACATGTTTAACTTAATGTAAGCACTTGAGTTGCAATCTGCAGCTCCTGGGTTCGGATCTTGTTATGTACCAATGTGTATTAGCGAATTTCAATTTGATGTTCTTACGGTGAAGAAAAACATTGTGTTGCTACACATATCTGTGAAGTGACTGCACTGGGTCAGCATTGACCATGGCCTCCTAATTTGGGATAGACTCCAAGATCCTCAGTGGACGTGTAGTGAGCTGATGAGTAAATATTCACAGCGCAACTTCTGAAGTGGGTCTATGCGCTGCACTGGAGGCTCTCACTATGAACGCTGCATCTCGCTCCTGCAGCACCTGGGTTGCCGGTATGTGCATGACAAAGAATTTAATTCCTTTCCCATTTAATACGACTTTATTAGCAAATTGTCACCAAAACAACTATAATTTTGTCACTTGCGTCTATATTTAGCTATTTAACTAGATGTAGCCGGCGACTCTGTCATTAAAAAAACCTAACTTTAGACATACCTTTAAAAAGACATCCATCAAAACATTCGCATTTATAATATTACTAAGTTTGTATTGACAGCGTAAATATAACTGAAATTGATATAGGACTTCTTGATTTAATTTAACTGCTTATTATTTTATGTTTTCATCTATATATCAATATATAAAATGGTATGTATTTATGTTGTGTCACTTCAGTGGGAGGGTCTCAGCTGCCGTCTCCGCAGCGAGCTCACCCATCTCACCTGACACCGCGCCCGCAACCCAGTGATAATAAAAAAGTAAATTCACCACCTTAACTTACAGGTTTAGGCAGAAATGACTAAAAATATATCGCCCTGGATGAGATTTCTACAGCTTTTATTATACATTTTATTATACATACTAGCTGTCGCCCGCGACTCCGTATGTGTTCCAGGCTTTCTATTAAAATTTCATCGAAATCCGTTCAGCTGTTCTGGAGATACCTTCTAACAAACATACATCTAAACATTCGCATTTATAATATTAGTAAGATTTTCAAGGGAAGTTAACAATGTTATGTATATACGTAATTGGCTTGTAGCTCTTAGTAGTCGGGTAAATGTAACAGTTAACGACACCTCTCTCGCTCACATATTCATACAAACACATGTTTCAGGTTCGTCAGAACTACATAAAGAAGCGTCTACTGACCACTTACAGGGCGTTAGAAAGAATGTCTCAGTCTGAATTCAATTTGGACAGGCTCGAGGTAAGAAACGACTCATCAACTAATCTCCATAAAACATTGTTGAGCGAGTGGACTTTATGATGTTATAAAAGGCTGGTTGGTTGCTGATTGTAATTTGAAAGATGATGTACAAAATAGACGAAAATGTTTGATGTGTCGACGCGCGGAGTGCTGAAGTGCAACTGAAGGTCGCGGTGTGAGGGGGGTGAAAGGGACCCTCGCGCTGCTTCACTGCCGGTGCAGCATTATCTTGTGGTGCCATGAATATTTATAACCTCGTAATAAAGTGTTTGAAATCATCTAAGTAAAGGCACTTGTTCTTCACAGCAAGCGGCCGCAGCATCAGCAGCTGGTCGCAGCACAGGCAACTGTCTGGCTGCACCACCTGCTAGACCTAACACACGCTTACTGCATCCCGGTAAGTGGTCCATAACTAGTGTACGTACCCTTGTGTTGTGAATTAGCCACGTAATAATATTTAAAAAAATAATGTGATCCTTTTCATTTTCGACAACAATATGTCTTCATCATCATCAGCTCACTATACGTCCCCACCGTGGGGCATGTGTGAAGTCAACCACGCTGATCAAGTGCAGTGACTTCACACATATCTTTGAACTTCTTCTCAGATATGTGCATGCGATGTTTTCCTTCATCGTAACATCGGATAAATGTACATATGTAAATCGGAAATGGAAAAAGATATTGGTACATGGAATTCGAACCCAGGACCTGCAAATTGCAAAGTCAAGCGCTTGACCACTGAGCCACCGACGCTCTATATACGACAATATGTATTTACTATTAATGCAAGTGTCTCTAGTCCAATTCTGTGGTTTTTCTCTTAAATTCTTAAAAAAAAGTGTAATAATTTACCTAGGGTTAAAACTCTCGGTCATGTATACAGAGAGGTGTCTAATAAGCTTGTCCTGATCTTGAAGAGCGAAGTCTTATTAGGTTTTTTTTTTCTTTTCCTTCAATAGAGACAGCCCATTTGGTGCTGACGGCCGCAGACTTGGAGCGCGAGCGCGGCCGACCTCTCTCCAAATACGAACGTAACATGATGATATTCAATTGGCTCCATACTCTTGATGAAGGTGCACCTTACTAGATCAACCTGGGACAATAACAAGGTTGATAACCCTACACTTTGATATCAAAGTGTAAGTTAACTGTATAGTTTACCCTACAAATACATCCCACCAACTATAACTTTTTTTTTGTCATACCAACTTATTATAGACTATTTTAAGGTCTACGCTTATTTATTTTTATATCGAAATACTAAATTTACGATTATCTGTTGCAATGTTAACCCGCCAATAATTGGGCAGATTACCCTACTTCTGTATAAAACATATCGTCATCCCTGTCATTATCTTTGACAAAATAGAGATAACAATATTTTTTTTATATCATAAGATGGCAAACGAGCGAGCGGTCACCTGAAATCGCTGAAATAGCGAAGTGACCGTTGCCCATAGACATACGCAATTGTATATGCGTTGCCTACCTTTCATCGACGGAGGAGAGGGTGCACAGAAAGAAAATATCTTCCCTTTCTATGCATCAACTCATCTCATCCCCTCCGGGACGCACACTCATCAGAATGTAGTTGGAATAGCTTCCACTTGAGGCGTGTCTTCTGTATGGTCAATTCCTGCGAACATGTTAAAGCTCGCTCTACCACTGTTAAATGTAAAATATGTTTAAAATTGAGATTTTGGTCTCTGACTCACCTGCCAATTACTGTTTGTTTACCTTAGAACTAATCATCTATTATATCCACTCACAATAAATTAAAAATGCAACTTACCAATAACTAGGTTGATTACCCTAATATAGGGTAATTGAACCAGTTATGAGCCAACTTACAGTACAATTCCTTTTCTCCTATAAAAAGCCAAGGTATCTTTTGATTTTTATTTAATCCTAACAAACTTATGCCTTTTGAATAAATCAAAATCTGGATGACGGAGCTTTGCTCGGTATTTTTTTTTGTGTTTTTTTGGAAATTATATTTAAGTAGGAATTACTAATAAAATGATGAAATATGAATAATATTTTTCGATCTTACCTAAAGAAAAAGTTAAGTTTATGTTTAAGTTGATTATCGATAAAACACAAATAAAATGACATTTTTCTAAAAATGATTCCTAGCTAGATCGATTTATCGCCCCCGAAACCCCCTATATACTAAATTTTATGAAAATCGTTGAAGACGATTCCGAGATTACAATTATATATATAAAAGAATTGCTCATTTAAAGATTTAAAGATATATTTTGCCCAACTTTCCGAATTCAATTTTAAAGTGTCATTCGATTCGTATTCAGAGTGTCATTGTGGTTTGGGTTAATATTTTTTAATGACACTTTATCCAATCCATATCCATTACATACTTGTGTCATTTGTATAGAAAATATTGTCTGTCTTAATTGTTGTGTGAAATTGTATTATATTTAAAAAAAAACTGTTTTTTTTTGTGTAGAATACATAACGATAATTTCTAGATAATTCTAGAAAATCAATAACTAAATAATAAACATTAGTAATAGGCATAAAACATTGCTTTTAGATTCTACTGCTAAAGAAAAATATGTCTTATGTCGTTGCTAATACGGTTCATATAAGACCCTTCATATATAAAGCAACGTAAATTGTAACCAATATTGTATGGTTGCATCGCGAGTAGACAGGCGTTTAAAGCCGGACATAGTCTTTTTTATGACGTGACCGGTCAAAAGTGTCCGTGTTCGACTTTCGTTAAGCGTAAAAACCACCAAACAGAAAATCTCCAATAATTTGTCCGGTCTTTCTATACTAATGTCCGGTCCAAACTGATCTGTCCGGTTTAGCGACGTGGTAACTACTCATAAGTATCGAGTTCTATTTCCGTACACAACATTAAACTGACGCGAGTCTGTCAGTACAGACATGACATGTTACAGCGACTTTTCTCTGACCTTGACATACGACGATGACAGAAATGTCGGCGACTTGCGTACGCGCAACGCAAGTCGCCAGATTTTGAAGATTTACGTTACTTTGTGTGTAAAGGGCCTTAGAAATATGCAATTTAAAATCTTTATTACGAACAGAAATTTACAAGATTTGTGTTATTCAGTGAGCGAGCGGTCACCTGAAATCGCTGAAATAGCAAAGTGACCGTTGCCCATAGACATACACAATTGCATGCGTTGCGTAACTTTAATCGACGGAGGAGAGGATGCACAGAGAGAAAATATATTCCCTTTCCTTGCATCCTCTCATCCGGAAAGTCCACTTACACTGATCCTGAGCTGGGTCTAGCATGTTCTAGAAGTATCTTATTTACTTTGTATGTACTTATGTATGTAAATGTGACATTTGAAGATAATAATTATAGAACAGGGATAGATTATAAAAGCAATAGCTTTTGTATGCGAATTTTTTTATATACAGGATGTTTAAAAAATATTTCATTGATGTTTTTAAAACGGTACTAATTTGCGTAATTTTTTTTGTTGAACTGGTACCATGAGTCACATCTGATTTAAAGAAAATCGTCCTGTATATTATTTCTAAATGCCAATATAATAGTGCACACAGTTTGATGTTATAGCCTTACCAAGAATATAAGAATCGTTGATTCAACCGTCTTATTATATTTCATTTTCCATTTTCTTATGTGCGCAAAGAATTTAGTTCCATGTTTTGTCGGAATATGGTAGGACGGTTTTTAAATTTCTGGTCTCACTCTATAGGTGTTCCATTTAGTTACTATTAGTAAGTATTTTTTTTATTATAAACTTTTGCGCAGTATTATGTTAACATTCCCTAGTTTTTTAATACTCAATACGTTTGAAGTTTACGTAATTTACGTATATTTTATTTAAAAAACTTGCTTATATCCGTCAGCTCACTATACATCCACTGAGGGTCTCGGAGCCTACCCTAAGTTAACTAGGTCATAGTCAATGCTGGCCCAGTGACTTCACACATATCTTCGACATTTCTTCAAAGATATATTGCATGAGAGATGTTCTTCTTAAATTTACATAAACATATGTAAATTGAAAAACACATTGGTACATTTCCATGAGCCTAGAGCAGTGGTTCCCAAGTTTATTTTGTCTATTGCCCACTTTGAGAATAAATATTTTTTTAGCGCTTCCATATCTTCACATATTTAAAAACCGCTATAACTTCAAATTAAATTAATTAATTATAGTGAGCTATATATGTATATTAACGGAGAATTGTAAAGGAAACTTTTACTATAACCCGCAACTTGAGACCTGCAGCGCCCACAAGGGGGCGTTATCGCTCACTTTGGGAAAGACTGGTCTAGATGTGTAACTGCGCTACCGACGTTCAAATCTTATTTTGCAAATATTTACTGCTCGTATGAATTTTAGAACACGCTGTATAAAAGCATATTATTATTTTCTCATCGCGAGTTCCTAATTGTTAATAGTTACGGATGCATTTATTTTATTGTGATATCGAAATTATAAATTATTTTTAGGTTTGTTTTGTAAAAATCATGTGCTTTTAGGTTAGGTTAATTTTTGATCGACAAAAATCTTGATAAATTACTATGTATATATTTATTAGTTTTGGCATTCATCGTTTCATCAGCTCACTATACGTCCCCAATGAGCTCGGAGCCTACCCTAAGTTAAGGGTGATTAGGCCATAGTCAACCACGCTGACCAAGTGCAGTGACTTCACACATATCTTTTGAATTTCTTCTCAGTTTATTTAACGTTAATTTGAATAGGATTTAGTTTAATTTGTCATATTTGATGTTTTGCTAAAGATTTTTGTCGTTCATTTTCATACAAACTTAAAATACTGTATTACTCTTAAAAAAATATTTTAATACAATTTTTTTTTATAGTAAAACAGTAAGTTATTTGTGATTGAAGTCTATTTTTAATAATTCTAAGGTTTTTTTTGCTTATTAAAGACAAGAATTTAATAATTTGTGCCAGATTTTTTTTTCAAGATAAGTTTTATTTATTGGGAAATATGAATATTTCTATTACTTTAGTTTAAATTACGTATATATACTTATATTGTAACAAAATGGCCTATTTATTGTGATTCAATATGTTTGACTAAATTTTTCCGTCTTTAAATACCTTAATTTTTTTAGCTTTTTTAAGTTTATCTATATTGTAAGTATATGTTTATGAACATATTAACTAAATGTTTTGTATGTTTGTTCATGAATGATTGTAACTTTATTTTATAATAAATAAATAATTATGAAACACCCTGTATCTTCATTATTGTATAGGTACACGTCCATTAACTCTCGTCGGATACATCGCACGCAACGGATTTACCGTCCGCATCTATAGACAAAGCAAATCCGTTCAATCCGTGCGTACGGTACGTATCAATGGACGCGTTCCTTACTCTGTAACGTTAGGGTAAGAAAAAAAAACTCAAGTTTCCAAAAATTTTATTTTGAAATTTCAATCCTTGGATTATATGCATAATCGATTAGCCTTTACAAAATCATTTCTTTATTTAAATTAAAACTGTTAATTTCGCAATTTCTTGTAATAAAACTAACTGTCGCCCGCGACTGCGTCTGCGTGGGATTAAGAAAATAGTAGTCTATGTGTTCTTCCAGACTATGTTTTATGTATGTCAAATTTCATCGATATCCATGCAGTCGTTCTGGAGATATCTTCTAACAAACATCCATCTAAACATTCGCATATATAATATTAGCAAGACATGTTTGAAAACAGAAAATTTGTAATTAACAACTCCTTTGTTTACATAAAAATTGATTTGAGATGAATTTTATTATTTCCATTTTTTTAAGTTCAAACTTTCGTGAGACGTTATAATAAACTTATATAAAAACGGCTAAACACTGACGTATATTCGTCCGATGGCACCGACTAGTGTGTAGTGAGTGAGCTGGTGGTCCATTACCAGTCCCACTCACCCTGATGAAAGGCCTCCGATGGGCTCGAAACTAGTCGGTGTCACCGGACGAATATACGTCAGTGTTTAGCCGATTTTATTGTACGAAATTTCTTTTAAACAAAATAAGGCTTATCGATTAATCAAAAAACTCTTCATACATCTTACAATAGTTTTTTTTTTACAAAAAATGTTACAAAAACTTCTAAACCGAGAATCTTTTTACATTATTATTTTTAATATAAAATATACAAACAAAATTCCAAGGATTTTTTTTATACAAATTTAATTTCATTTTATGTATGAAAGAAAAAGTAACCTAAGTGCCAGAAAATTTACATTTTTTTTATTATAATTTTTCTATTATCAAAATAGCGAAAACTGTGGTATATACAGTGGGAATGAATCATTTCAAAAATTAAACAAAAAAAATAAATGTATTTTCAATTGAATACAAAATAAACTTATCGCGAGTTTCTGAAACC